TATATATAGATAGATAGATAGATAGATAGATAGATAGATAGATAGATAGATAGATAGATAGATAGATAGATATAGATATAGATATATATATCCTGCACATTATTATTGTTATTATTATTACTTTTTTAAATTTTTTTCATGAACAGAAAAAAATGTTTTAGTGGTTGATTGACACATTTTTCATGTATCTCTAAAATATTTCAATTTTTTCATTTTTGAAGATTTTTACCTTCAGATTACTGTGAACTATATTCCCCCACCATCTCTCTTTGCATTTCAATGCAAAGGATTAAGGCACACACATGTACAGTAATATAAAACACTAAAATGTTAATGTTATTATTAAAAACACTATGCCACAAATATTGATTTACTATTGAATTACTATTTTAGTGATCAAGAGTAAAATGTACCCTCAATTTCTTAGGAGACAGGAGTGAAAACTGATACAGTCTTCTGCTTCAGGGTTCAATGATGCTCTTCTGCATACCTTGGTTGTAACATGTGGTTCTTTGAGTTACAGCGGCCTTCCTATCAGCTTGAAACAGTCAGACCATTGTCCTCCGACATCAATGACACATTTTCACCCAGAGAGCTGAAGCTCACTGAATATTTGATCGTTTTTGGACTCTCTGTAAACCCTACAAATGGGTGTGTTTCTGAAATTCGGTTTGAACTTCAGCTGGTCATCTTAATCATGTCTACACACCTAAATGCACTGAGTTGCTGCCCTGTGATTGATTGATTAGATATTTGAGTTAACATGTAATTGAACAACCGTACTCAATTAAGTGGCCAGCAAGAGTATATTGCACTTATACCAATATTTTGGCAGAAACCCCACATTGTAGGTTAAATTATGCGAATGCATCCAAAATATTTTACAAACATAGAAACTCTTTATTACAACAGTATCTCTCGCTTTAGCTTCAGCTGTGTTTTTTTTAACACATTCATATCATTGTACAGTGGAAGTCATTCTTTATCTTCACCACAGCTTAAAAAACAATCTCCGAACAAGTCAAAACAAAACCTAACACAAACATTCAACATCATTCACAGTTTGAGATATTTAGACGTGATAAAAAGAAGGTGTCAAGTTGGCCTTGTCACTAAAACACCCTCTGAAAAAATATCTTAAAAACCCTGTTTCCACAATACATAAGAAAGCCTCTTTATTTTAATCAGTCATTTTCACACGTCTCCCTCTAACAGTTCGCTATAAAATACAATTTCAGCTCATAGTTAAGCTGCAAAACCAAGTCTTTTAAAAACCTCAAGCAAATTCTGTCTGCTCTGTTCTTCCCACAACATTAAAGTAGTGTG